CCCTCTGGATGGCATCCCTTCCCTCCACATAATACCACAGATGATCTTTCACCATTAAGTTATAACTCCAGATTCTCTGTTACTGCAGAGAATAATTTATCTTTAAATATTAGGAAACTATTTTGATCACTTTCCATTTCCTAAACACGGCCTTGCTCATAAGTAGAATTTGCTTGTTTCATTTTGCTTGTTGCTTTTTTTTTTTTTTTGTGTTGTAATCAAAGGCCTGCTCCTGTGCTGAATGATAGATCTCTGCAGTCAAGGTCAGTGTAGCCTATTCAGCACATTGTGAACTGTTGAGCTAAAACGCTTCTGTTCTGCTGCCCTCTCCTTGGCAAGAATGGGGATGGTCTGGTTGAGTGGTGACTAGAACAGGGCAGACAAATACTTTTTCATTTGCTTGCCAGTGAAATACTGCAGAGCTACTGCTACCTCTGTGAAGGCGATAGTCTGGGGATGCTAAAGAGTGTGAGGTTTGTTTTTTTTTCCCCTTTTTTCTTTGCTTTTTTAATAATCTAGCTTGCAAGTCAGACCCCCTCGGTTGTCAAATGCAAATCAAACAAGCTGAGCTACTAGCCTGGGGACTGAGAAAGCTGTGCAGTGCTACTGTAATGGGTAGTGAGGAGAAGAGACAGGAGATGATTTAGTGTTTCCCCATGTTTTCCTGCCTTCTAAGACAGAAAAAAGCTAAATATCTGTGCTTAATAGTATCTCAGTATCAGTCTTTTACTAGTAACTCTTTGTAACTTCAGTGTCTGTCATTCAAGTTTATAATAGGTGCATAGATTGTTCATAGCATGACGTCTAGTTTTCAGGGGAAAAAAACCCTGTGCATCCACATCAGTCCTTTGAATCAGGCATCCTATTACGTTGTTAGACTAAATTTTTCTTCCCATACTGGGTAAAAGTATTCACATTGCATCTCTTTGAGCAAACTAAGTAAAAAAAGTTTAGATTTCTCATACCAGAAAATAAGATCTATTTTAGTGAGTTAATAAAATATTTGACAGTGGTTTCAGTACTTCCCAATACAGTGCTGCTAATCCATCTGTGCCAGTGTAAGCTTAGATTGCTTTTATTATTGGGAAGGTAATTTTCAACAAAGTATGTGTATTGAGCTTAATTCTAACCTCAACAACTTCTGAATGCTCTCAGCATTCCTGTTCAGTCTTCAAGGGCTTGTTCAAGGGGCTGCTTATGAGGATATATTTTATATGCAATATAAAGTTGTTGTTTTAAAACAAGTTTTATTCAAACTCCTGGTACAGTGATGCAGGAAACAACGACCGTGTAGTGATTCAGGAACTCTTGAAGACAGTAGCACAATCCCAGCAGCTTGAGACGAGCACTCAACGAGATTTTAAAGGTGAGTTAAAACAGTTAAAACCAGTCAAAGTGTTTTTTAAACTTGTTTTTCAGGTGTTTCGGCTTTTTTGTTTGTATCCATATGTGCATGAGGGCGCATATGAAGCTTTTCCCAAATTAAACCTCCCATTTTACTTGCACTGTACGAGTATCTCAAGTGGTTAAATATTCAGTATGAGGTTGTCTCTTGTGTTGGTTTCTTAGGAGGACAAGGTTTAGTTGAAGCCTGTGACTAGGCAGGGGGAGCTTGGATCCCTGCTTTTTCCCAAGTCTACCACTGAAATGTACTGTAACTTAGGTTAATGGTCTACAGTAATAGTTGAGTTACAAGCTAGTGAGGCTTAATACTGAGTTGAGCAGCAGAATAACCTTATGGCTAATGGTGCTGTCTAAATTAGGTGTTAGTGTCTGGGGATATGGCCCATGTTAGACAGAAATTTTGGAATCTTTTTATCTACAGTGTACAGAACAAGGGGAAAGAAAATGAAGAAGGTTTTCATTGAGTTTTCCAAGACGCGTTGCTACAACTGGCTTGTTTTACTTCCCCGTGACTAAATTGAAAGCAATATTGGAACTGTATATCAAGAGACTGAAGGAGAGAGGAAATCTTGACAGACTAGAGCAGAACTTATTTTAAAATGATCTTGGATATAATACTTGTGTTGTTTTTCTCAGTGTTCTCAGGAAATATTGTATTTCACCTAAGCTGCTAGACACTGATTTGCTCTACCAGTCATAGAGTCACAGAATTGTAAAACCATAGAACCAGCTAGGTTGGAAAAGACCTTTAAGATCATCAAGTTCAACCATTACCCCAGGACTGCCAAGTCTATCACTAAATCTTGTCACCGAGGGCCTCATCTGCACAGATTTTGAACACTTCTAGGGATGGCGATTCCACCATTTCCCTGGGCAGCCTGTTCCAATGCTTGATTACCCTTTTGGTGAAGTAAGTTTTCCTAACATCCAGTCTAAACCTCCCCTAGCACAGTTTGAGGCCATTTCCTCTTGTCCTGTCACTTGTTACTTCGGAGAAGAGGCCAGCCACATCCTTCCTCTCTCTGTCTTCCTTTCAGGTAGTTGTAGAGAGTGATAAGGTCCCTCCTGAGCCTCCTTCTCTTCTCCAGGCTGAACAACCCCAGATCCCTCAGCCGTTCCTCATAAGACTTGTTCTCCAGACCCTTCATCTGCTTTGTTGCCCTTCTCTGGACCCACTGCAGGACTCAGTGTCTCTCTTGTAGTGAGGGGTCCAGAAGTGAACACAGTATTTGAGGTGCAGCCTCACCAGTGCCGAGTACACAGGATGATCATTGCCCTAGTCCTGCTGGCCACACTATTTCTGGCAAAGGCTAGCAGTTATTGATGTATATATCCTTACAGCTGCAGTCATACAATGCACCTCAAAGTATCTGGTAAGCTGGCCAGTCCCCTTGTGCTGCATATATAACCAAAAGAGAAATGAGTGGACTTGTCCCCCAGGCTGTTCTCACTTGACCATTCAGAGTACTGCAATGTGCTATCTAGGAGCTGCCTCTGGAGGAACCTGCAGAAGGTAGCTGGTTAGGGTAGCCACTTCATACTTGGTGTTTTCTGATTGTTCTGAAGCATTTTTGAAATAAGTTTTTCTTTTTTTCTTTAAAAGACCATGGAAAGGTGCTGCAGCTACAGTAACAAGGCAGCTTTCCACTACTCCTTTGTTAAGCTAAGACATTGGCTTTTAAATATAAAATGTATTGAGGGGAGTCTTCAAGAAGTTTTTGCTTTTTGTTATGTCCTTACGCCATCAATTCTTTTGCATTTCTTAATACTTTAAAAAGTTACTGTACTAATTGCTTCTACACCTACCCGGAGTATTTCTTGGCACTGAAGTGTTGCAGGCCCTATTCTCAAGAAATTAACATTCAGGACATGAATATAGGGTATGAATGAGCAGAAGATTATACTGACAAAAAGGGACACAGGTTGTCTTCATCTTTATTTTCCTGCCCATGGAACCATGCTGCCTTTTTCTGCTTGTATCATTTATTTTGGTATTATTGCTAGTATGTCAAAGTGCTCATTTCCTTGGAAAGATTTGAGATTAAAATAAAACCCCAACTATTGTTAATCCTTTTTCAGTGGTGCTGTTAACAGAAGTCGACAAACTCACTAAAGATGCTCAGCATGCTTTGCGAAGAACAATGGAGAAGTACATGGCGACCTGCAGGTTGATCCTGTGCTGCAACTCCATGTCAAAAATTATAGGACCTATTCAGAGCAGATGCCTGGCTGTACGAGTGCCTGCTCCCAGCATTGAAGATGTATGTTGACACTGAAGCAAAAATAAGTTATTTAAAACTTCTTATAAGTTCTTGCTGTGGACTTGAGAAATATTTTACGTCCGTAAAGTGACCTAGTTTTCCTTTTTGGTGGGTGATTTGTCAAGAATATCTTAAAAAAGGCTGGTCCATCTCCGGTCCAGAAATGTTTCACACAGGAGAATTAGTAGGTGCTAAACTGTTTGCTAAGTGTTGCACTCCCTGCTATCTGTTTTTCATCTAGATCTGCCATGTCTTGTCCACTGTGTGTAAGAAAGAAGGCCTGACTCTTCCGCAGGAACTGGCTCAAAGGCTTGCAGAGAAATCCGGCAGGAATCTTCGGAAAGCACTACTTATGTGTGAGTCCTGCAGAGTACAACAGTAAGTCACTGCTAAAAAATAATGTAAATTATACTCTCAGACACATAACTGAACTTATTTCTGAGGCCTTGTTAGAATAGGTCGCAATTTGCTTTGATTTTAATTCTTTTAAAATATTATTGTTACATAGGTATCCTTTTACTGCTGATCAGGACATTCCTGAGATGGACTGGGAAGTTTATTTGAGAGAAACTGCAAATGCTATTGTTAGTCAACAGTCACCACAAAGGTAGGTGAATGCACTTACTTGCAGCTATAAGTTATGTTTTGGTGTACTCTTGGACCTAAAACAAAAGTTATATTTGTTGTATTTAAAAATGTGACATCTTTACTTCAGTTATATGCAATCTTCCGGCATTTCTACTGGAGCTGGTACTTTACAGCCAAAGGAAGTGAGCTTTAAAATTACCAGAGGTGGCTGAGTGATCTTTGGGAACTGAATCAGTTGTTGGTTTTCTCTGAAGCTTTGTAATCAAAAGAGAGCATAAGCTTAGTTGCCTGTTGTGCTGTCTATCATCATCTTTTTTGGGGGGTGGGTGTTGGTTTGTTGGGGTTTGTTTTGTTTTTTATTTTATTTAAGGCTTCTGTTTCACCATCTTTAGCATAATGCAGCTTTGTAAAAGAACTGGCAATGAGAAATCATCACTTTGTTAAGCACATTAGCAGATGTCCCCTGTATCCATTTTGTTGTCATGTACACAGCCTGAACCTTTCAGTCTGTTCCGTACATTACGTAAGATGTCACTTAAATTCTTGTCTTTTATTTAAATGCTTGTAGCCTCTGACTTCCCGATACCAAAAGTTGGGAATTGATGACTGTGTCGCTTTCTACCACCTAATCATCTTACCCCCTCTTGTAACCAGTGAAGATGGAAAACCAGTGTAAACCAATCTTGTGGCTTTAATCAATTTTGTAGTGTCTCCTCACTAATCGTAAGCATGAATAATAATTTAGATGGAAGAGGAATTACAGGGAGACAAGCCAGAGACAAATTCTAATAGCTTTGTAGCTTCTCAATTAAGTGAGGCTATTGTAACTAGAGCGTATGTACCTTATCTTACTGTTTGAAGTAGAAGGTGATATGTAGTAGTTGAATTGAAGCCGACTGTCTTGTGCAATTCTTTGGGGTTTAAAATAACACACAAAGCCAGAAAAAGCCACTTTTCTTCAGCTGACTTTTCCTTTTCTTTGGTTTTTTTTTTTTTTTTTTTTTAATTATTTATTTCCTGTAGCATATTCCACAAATAGTAAAAAACTACTAGTACACTTCGGGGACATACTTCTGTTATCTTGTGGTGTCTTTCCAACAGGCTTTTAGAGGTCCGCGGACGGCTTTATGAACTCCTGACACACTGCATTCCTCCTGAGATTATAATGAAGGTAATTCAGCTTTCTAGCTCTTCATGTGTTATAAATACTAAGGCTATGACAGTCTCAAGTTGAGTTAAAAAAAACCAAAAAACACCAAAACATCACAAATTATCCAAATATTGATGAAAATCCATGTATTAACAAATAGACATGAGTGACCAAAAGATAATTTTTTCTTGTTGTTTCTGTCCACTGGAGTAACCAAAATAGTCCAGTTTATCATGCTGAAGCAGTAACTGAAGACCTTGTTCTTGCAAACACTGATACATAGCATTCACTTCCTATGAATGATATGCCTGACTGTTTAGTTAGGTTCATGCGTGAAAACAAAGGAGGATGTGCTTTGTCCCTCTGAAGACTTCTCTGGCCAGTTTCTTTATTGTAGCACAGACATATTTTATGGGCTAATTGTGATGTGGTTTGTTTTCTTTTCTAAAAGTTTTGCTGTTGTGAGTTCAACATTTGCTATGTCCTAGTGGAGAGGTTTGCTGAAGGATGCTAGACCAGCAGGCCTCTATAAAGACGGAATTCATCTTGGGAGACAAAAAGCAAATGGATGTGCATATTGTTATTTTAGGCAGGATGAAAGAATGCTGAAGACAACTAGAGCAGAACAAAGATTAAAGCTAATGTTTGCAACTGACTCTAGGTAGACTTTGCCATCAGACATAGAATCATAGAATAGTTAGGGTTGGAAAGGACCTTAAGATCATCTAGTTCCAGGGACACCTCACACTAAACCATGTCGCCCAAGGCTCTGTCCAACCTGGCCTTGAACACTGCCAGGGATGGACCATTCACAACTTCCTTGGGCAACCATTCCAGTGCCTCACCACCCTCACTGTGAAGAACTTCCTTATATCTAATTGAAACTTCCCCTGTTTAGCCTTCTTTTCTTAAGATAGGTTAGTGGATCCTGCATTGCCCTGTTTGAGGGCTGTTGTCTTCAGGCCAAAGGTGGACATTCTCTGTCTGCTCCCTCTTCATAAATCTGAGATGGTATAGAAATACTTCTCACTTAATCCTGACCATTTTAATAGAGATGGATTTGCAATGATTGTGTTGCTCTCTTGGATCTAAAGTAATGTGGGTTTGGGCTTTGTGATGACTGAAGTATTACTGTAAAGTATCTTGTGTGTGTCTGCACATGCATATATGTACATAAATATAAACAGATATACTTAAATTTTAAATAAGCCCTTGTTATTTATTAATGTTGTTTCTGTTTGTGCTTGATACTGTCAAGATAGGAAGGAAGTGATTTTAATGCATTTGCTATCTTGGTAAAAATTCTCCCCAGGGCCATGTGCCTGCATGCAGCAGAGGTTATAATATTTGGAGATAATGTTAATTTGTTTTCCTTATTAAGGTGTAAGTACTTTCAGTATTTGATCTTTCCCTTCTAAGAACACAGCAAGTGTTCATCTTGAAATGAGAAATTCATCTTGAAAGAAGGATCTTGAAGAGACATGGTTCCATGAATCTAGTTCTGTCAAACAGGTGGCGTAATGGTTTTTTAATGTCTTTTCTGTCGGATTCATGAGTGAACTGTTTGCCATAGCTTCGCTATTTTCAGAGAAATGAGCATATCATCTTCTTAACAAAAAAATGCATAATTTTTCAAATACTGTCCTGTTTTTTCCCTTTTAGGGCCTCCTGACAGAACTTCTAAGTAACTGTGATGGACAACTGAAAGGAGAAGTTGCACAGATGGCAGCCTTCTATGAACACCGCCTGCAACTGGGCAGCAAATCCATTTATCATCTGGAAGCATTTGTTGCAAAATTTATGGCAATTTACAAGAAATTTATGGAGGATGGACTGGATGACATGATGTTCTAACTGATGCCAGAGTCATACATGGAATGTTGTGTCACAGTGCCAGTAATGTTGCAAACGTCTGCTTGTCCATGCTTGATTGAATGTAGGTCTAGTTCAAAGTCAGCTATTTTATTTTGATATTAATGTAAAACAATGTGAAATAAAAAACGTTTGTTCAGTTTTAGAAACCAGATGAATTGTTTGACAGCCATAAATCCATCTTTAGGTCTATAGGAAATACATTAGCCTTTGGAAGGACAAGTTGCCTTGGAAGATACATAAGATCATAGTCGCTTTGCAGTATTTGTAAGCTGACATTAAGGAGAGAGAACATGGATGCTGCACTCTTGCTTTTTGATTGTTCATGGGCAAGACTGTAAACAAAAGATGTTTTTTCCATGTTCTGGTAAGTTCCAGTTTGATCGTGTATGTTCTGCCTACTGAATTACACATACTGTTGTCTGCCTGGCTTGTATTTTAGCCACACCGTTTTCTGTCATGTGCTGACACAGAATGTTTTCTGACTCTTGCTCATATGCAGTTGTATTGATATTGTGGATGAGCAATACTTTTGTGTTGCTTGTAAAGCAGTTCGACAACATGGAACACTGTTTAGAAGCAATATACCCATGTAAAGCAAGCTCCCTTGCTGTCTGACTGTTTCAAGTTCACCCCAACATATGCAGTGCTGTTCAGGTAACGATTATTCCTTTGACTGTGGTTTAACCAGGGTGAGCTTTCAGCTTTTATCAGTTTAGGAAGTGAAAGAATATTTGTTATGTGACATTTCTAAAATGGAAAAATAAATTGTAAAAATATGAACAACAAACAGAATGCTGAATTAGTGTTTTGGCACTGTCTCTGACTACCCAGGGATGTGCATACATTTGCTTTGATGTAGACTCTATCAGAAAGGTAGGATGTAGCCCCCCCCCATTTTAAGACTAAAGGGAGCCACTGAAGTTTAAAACCAAACAACAAAAACAATAAAACCCACCAGCCAAGACTACCTGTGCCACTTTGTGCTGCAAGTCTTTCATGCATTTTATCTGTGTACAATGAGTCAGTAATCTTTGTTACTTCCCTGTGCTAATTTAGGCTATTACTAGATAGTAGTTAAAGATCAAGTGAGTTAAATACTGCTTCTCATAATCCACCACCCCTTGCCCCCTGGGTTTTTTTTATCAGGTAAGGGTTTAATATTTGGGGACTTTTGTGTAGAGCTAGCTAGTTGTGCATAATGGTGTGTTTGTGGAAGCTAGGGCCCTCCTGGTAATTGAAGAATCTCACTTGTTCCTGCTACCTGTCATCCCCCTTGGTGCTAAGGCACAGCTTGCCTTCAGATTCATTGTCAGTGCTGGCCTGCTTTGTGCTCAACTGCTCTCCTTAAAACTGAAGAACTTTAAAAGATGGATTTATTTTTTTTCTTCCATCTGCTCTTTTCACCCAAATGCACAGCACTAGTAGCTTTGTCAGAGTGTGTCTTGACTGTCAGAGATCCTGGAAAACCATTGAATTAAATCAGTAGTAGTGGAAATGAATGCTTACAATCATCATAAAGAAGAGCACAATAATGGCAGAGGGACATAATTACCATATGTACAAGTTGCCTGCTCTTTCAGGATCCTAGTCCTATCTGCTCGTCTTTAAAGGCTGAACAACCAGCCATATGCCTACTGCAAGTAGAGTGTGATGAAGAGAAAGTGTGAGTTCAAAAGATGATGAAACTACCTCCCCCCAAAACCAACCAACCAACAAAAAACAACCCTAAAAACTTATGTGGGAGAAAAGGAATGTGTGGAAGGAATTGTGAAATACAGTTGGAATGCACATGGACAGTACTGCTGTGGAGGGTGGAGAGGAGGAGCTGGATAGTAGGTTTGGCGGTTGGAGGAGGCAGAGGAGTTGCTTGGTGCTTTGAAAGATCTCCGTAGGTTTGTTTAGGAGACTGAAACCCCAACATAAATCTCTGTAGGTGTTCTATAAAACTTCCTGAGGTTTTATATTTATCATGTTCTACCTGGGTTGAGTGAAGAGCTGTCAGGGATGGAAAAATGGGATAATGACCTGGGATCACAGAGAGAAAATGCTCCTGAAAACCAGCATTTCCCCTTGCTAATCTGACTCCTGCCCTCTTTGTCTTCTGTGGTCTAGAACAGACTAATTTAAGCACATAGGCACAACATTCAAATCTCTGCACACATTCTTCCTTCCTACAGTAACTTTTAAGTTGATTTTGCCTTAGTATCCATAACAGGCTTCCCAAGGAAGTGGTCATGTCACCAAGCCCATCAAGGGTTCAAGGAGTGTCTGGGTGATGCTTTACATCATATGGTTTAGTTTTAGGTAGTCTTGCAAAGAGCAGGGAATTGGACTCTGATCCTTAGGGTGATCCCTTCCGACTTGAGGGATTCCGTGACAACAATCAGTAAGCAGTGTGATTATGGGGGACATCTCAGAGGCTATCTGCCTTGGATGCTGCTTCTGCTCTCTTGGGTAGCTGTAGCACGTGCATAGAGGCAATGTGGAACAGAACTGAGCTCCTGGGCTGTGCAGGAGGAAGCAGAGTCCAGTAAACCCCATCCCTCATGCTGTGCACTGATAAATGGGGCTGATGGGAATGTACGAGCTGGTGGCTGTCAGAATCAAAAAGGAGCTTTATGCCACTTCTTCTACGGACCTACGCTGAGCACTGCATGTCTGCTTCCCAGATCAAGTGGGAGAGGCAGTGCAGATAGACTGTTAAACACTGAATAGCGCAGGAGCAACCTCTAGATGATCTACTTCGGCTGATTTCATCTTTTGAAACCTGCTTAGAACTTCTTCTGAGTTGCACGCTGAGAGGATTACCCTCACTTTCATGCAGTGTTACCTCCTGCTAGTTCCAAATGAAAACTCCGAGCTGCTCCCACCTGGGCGGGACTTAAGCACTGCACAAATCTAAGAGGTTGCAGAGGAGTCAGCTTCATGCTAGCACAGAAAGCCAGAGGTGAAACTGGTTTAAAAATCTAAACTAAAGGCAGCAAATACTTTAGTTAAAACTTCCTGTGCTCTGCAGAGATCAGCTGTGCAAAGGGCAAGTGCTGCATGCAGACTTTATTCCCCACTTCCAAGTGTTAACTCCCGTGAGAAACCTTATTTTTAAAATCACATTATTTTAGCCATCCATGGTAAACAACTCTGCTTGAGCATTAATCATAATAAACATACTGTGTGATGGGAAGACTGGTTTTGTAAAATGTAGTTTGTTAAATAAATCCCTATAAGCAAAGATGACATGAGGAATGTCCCCTTCTCTACCAGCAAAGTGCCCTGATTTTCGCAAGGTAGAAGGTAAGGTAGGTAAGAGTTCATTATCACAAACTTACCTTCCAGTACAGGGGATTCAAGATTATTACAGTTCATTGATATAAAATAATAGCTGTAATTTGTCTTGCTGGGAAGTGCTGTGGTATGCCTGAGCAGCCTTTAATCCTTCTGGCTTAACATTTTTTGCCTGCGTTAACAATTAATGCTCTATGAATTTGTTGTGTTGGATTTTAATCAATGACCCAAACCAAATCCAGAGTTATATTCTGCTAAACAAAAGTTGTCCCAACATGACAGTGAAATGCGCTTCTAGTTCTTGAAGGCCAAAATGCTTCTCTTCATCTTTGTATTTCATAAGGAGGGAAGGCATATAAATACATAAGCACGCAGAAGAATTAACCTCTGTTGATGGATGTGCCCTGCAGGCTAATCAATAGTATGCCATGCAAGTTGCATGTTGGGAGTTAGCTGCACATCACAAATGACCAAGATTAAAAGAGTTTGCCATTAACTTCAAGACATTAGGGACTGACTCAGAATTTTCTCTGTCATCAAAACTGAAATTATTTTCTGTCCAAATTAACAAGGACAACTGGGGCCTAACCCAGTATTTGGGTTTTTTTAAGCAGTGGATAATTCGCTTGTCTGAAAAATAAGCCTATGAGCAGCTAAACCTTCCTTTAGCAGATTTTCTTCTACAGTTGTGTATAGTTTGTGTGCTGAATTTCTGGAAGAAATTGTTTCAGCAACCCTGGAGCTAGTAAATACGGTGGTATTTCAGTGGGGATGGGTCTGGCATCTCTTAAATAGCAGTGAGGCATAAAATGATACAAGCAGAAGGAGCCTGAAGCATTTAACTTCACCACTGACACCACTGGTGAATCTGCCTTTCTCCTAGCAGAGGTGCTGGACTGCCCATCACCACCTCTGTTCTGGCACCTTCTTGGAGCTGATCTTCATCCCTGTCCGAAGACATGGAGTAGGTGTTGGTCTTTCACTATGGAGCCTGTTTTAGGAACAAGACTCTATGAGATGTTATCTAAAATGCTGGGCAACAGTGAAGGTTGCTATTCTCTGCTTCCCTGCAGTAATGCAGTGCTGGAAGCATCTCGCTGCCACAGTGGTCCATCAAAATCAATGGCTCTGTTTTGCTGTGTCAAGGGAAACCTCTGCCTTTGGTGCAATGAGGTACTTTATCAGGAATGTGTCCCTGACAGTCCTTTAATCGACTTTCAGCTCTTAACCAAAATTCTGAGGTCTTAGTCACATGGAAGTCCTACAGTTACTTTTAACTCTTTCTTGGAGACCATCTCACAGAAGTTAATCAATCTTATTTTCCTATACAGACTTGCCAGTGTTATATCCAGAGTAAATTCATGCCACGGTAACTGCTGGAATGCAGGTTCCTAGTTCCACATGTTCATGCTGCCCTCTGCCCAGAGTCTCTTTGAACCATGTCCTACACCTGGGTCGGCTCAACCCCAGGC